AAATGGAGGAGAAGGGATTGCAGTGTGACCAGACCTCTTTGGGAAGTGCTTTCTGTTTCTCTCTCTGGCAATTAACAAAAAGAAAGGTGTTGATACTGGGCAGTGTTTTATGGTGTTATTTAACCCGTCTGCTCCTCCGTGTCCTTCTCTGTAAAATTGGGGTTGTAACAGGGCCTCCCACTTAAAGTGCAGTAGACAGATGATCCTGATCCTGGAACCTGTGGATCAGTTACCTTAATGTTAATGGGGACTTTGCGGATGCAATGAGATTAAGGATCATGAGATAGATGATCCCCCTGGGTTAGCCGGTGGCCCCAGGTCATCACAAGGGTCCTGATAAGGGGAAGAGGGAGGCTGGTGGCAGGTCAGAGACAGAGAAGGAGCTGTGGTGACAGAAGCAGCGGTTGGAGAGACACTGCTGCTGGCTTTGAAGGTGGAGGAGGGGACCTTGAGCCCAGAAGGAGGGCAGCTTCAGTAAGCTGGGAAAGGTGAGGAGGCAAATTCTCCTTGGGAGCCTCCAGAAGGAACCAGCCCTGGCCACACTTTGATTTTTTTTTTTTGAGAGGTTTTTGCTATAGGGTGCGTGCGCTCGCCAGACAGACAGAGAGAGACAGAGAGACAGAAAGCGAGAAATCACCCCCCAGAGGGGATGGCCACGCCACAATCCCTTCTCTGTTCTCCTCTCGGGATCCTGGGCACACACGCACACGCGCCTGGCATGAGTTTCAAGCCACCGGGTCCGGGAGGCGAACCGCGGTCGACTACATGGGAGTCCAGTGACACAGCCATTACGCTAACTGCTGGTCCCCACACTTTGATTTTAATCCTATGACACTCAGTTTTGGACATCTGACTTCCAGATCTGTAAGAGAATAAATGTGTGTTGTTTTTAGCCACCAAGTTTGTGCTAATTCATTACAATAGCAGCAGGGAGCTATGCACCAAGCATTTGACACATAACACAGTGAGGATTTGAAAATGTCAGCCATGATGGTTCTCTTGTGACAGATGGGACGCCGGGGCGAGGAGCAGAAGTCACTCTCCAAAGCCATTCTGTAGGGGAGGACCTAGCCATCATTACTACTTGGCAGCATTTGTACCTTTGGCAAACGCTTGTGGGGGCTTCTTGTCTGTCTCTCTGTCCATTTGTCTGCCCATCTATCATCTGGAAGGAATTGAAGGCCTCCGTGGTGACAGTCCTGGCAGCTGACATTAATGGTGTTCTCTCCGTGCCAGGCACTGCTTCGTGGGCTTTGTACGTATTCCTCATTTGAATCTTCAGAGCCTCAGGGGTGGGAGCTGCTACTGTCCCCATTTCACAGATCTAGAAACAGGCAGAGGAGTGAAATGAGGCCATTTGCTCCAGGATCACCCAGCATTGAGCAAGCAGAGCTGGGAAGGACCAGACACTGTCCTTGGCATTGGGGACACAACAGTGGACAACTCAGACATTGTCCTTGCTCTCATGGAGCTCGAAAGTCCAGTGGGGAAGACAAATGCTCGACAGATATGCCTATAATCCTAGCTACTTGGGAGGCCAAAGCAAAAGGATTGTGAATTTGAGGCCAGCTGGGACAACTTAGAGACCCTGTCTCAGGGGAGAGACAAGTTCCTGGTAGGAGGTGAGGAAGAGAGGGCCTATTCTGATCAGAAGAGGTGACATCCGAGCAGAGACCTGAATGGTAGAAGGGGTTGGGGGAAGAGTGGTCCAGGCAGGAGGACTGGCAGGTGCAAAGGCCCTGGTGTGAGAAGGAGCCAGCCTGTTCCTGGGACAGAAGGAAGACAGTGTGGCTGGAGGAGAGTGATCAAGTATGGCAGGAGGGTGAGGAGTTAGAGTGGGACTTTTTTTTTTTTTTGGTCATAGAAATGGTGCGCTTGCCCGAGAGACAGTGAATGAGAGAGAATGATTGTGAGAAATCTCCCCTGGGGAATGGCCACACCATAGTCCCTTTTCCTCCATTCTTGTCTTGGGACTTTGGGCATGCACTCACATGTGCCTGGTGTGATTTTCAAGCTGCTGGGTCTGGGACTTGAACCGCACAGTTGGCCATGTGCCAGTGCCAGTGCCTTAACCTCCACACCACCTGCCAGCCCAAGGGCATATTTTTATTATAAGGTTTTTTTTTTTTTTTTTTTTTAAGAGAGATTTTTGCGGGACCAGCAGTTAGCGTAATGGCTATGTCGCTGAACTCCCATGTAGTCAACCGCGGTTTGTATCCTGGACCCAGTGGCTTAAACTCACAGTGGGTACGTGTGTGTGCATGCCCATGGAGAAGGGATTGCGGCGTGGCCATCCCCCCTGGGGTGTGATTTCTTGCTTTCTGTCTCTGCCTGTCTGTCTGGCGAGTGCACACGCTCTATAGCAGAAAAAAACCTCTCCAAAAAAAAAAGAGAGAGATTTTTGGCTATAGGGTGTGTGCGCTTACCAGAGAGAGAGAGACAGAGACAGAAAGCGTGAAATCACCGCCCCCCTCCCTGGGGGGGGATGACCATGAGAAAGTCCCTTCTTCATTCTCCTCTTGGGATTTTGGGCACACGTGCACACGTGCCCCACGTGACTTTTAGGCAGCTGGGTCTGGGACTCAGATTGCAGTCGACTGCATGGGAGTCCAGCAACAAGCTTTATGCCATCTGCTGGTCCTATGAGTTTTTTTTTTTTTCAACTTATGATAGAGAGTGACGTGTACATGTATGAGGGATAGAAAGAGAGAGGAGCACCCTTAATAGCGTCTTGTCGTAATGCAGCCCTCTTACCCCAGACTCAGCTATCAGGATCTTGGCACAGACATGTCTGTGTGTTTCCCGTCAGGCAGGCTTGGGACCCGAACCCGTGTTGGCCACATATCTTCTAGCACTGCAGTTTAGGACTCTACCTCTTGGACCTCCAACTTGGGCTCAGACAGGGACTTCTTATGCCTAGGCAGCACCACAGCATCCCAGGGCCCAGAGCTGGGACTGGGGTGGAGGCGGCAGTAGGGCCCTGCCCCCACACGGCTCCTTCTGCAGGCGTCAGTGTTGGGCACTCAGACACTCTGCAGCCAGCTTGCCCGGCTTCCTGTCAGCTTTGCCGCTCACCAGCTAGGAAGTTACACAGCTGCTTCCTGCCTCCGTCTGCTCATGTGTGAAATGGAGATAATGAAAGCCCCTGTCTTGCATAGCCGCTGCGAGGAGAGGAGACACATGTATTTTGCTGTAGTCATTAGTCTGTATGTCATCTCTGCTCCCTTCAGAAGGAGGGCATTTTTTTTAAAGAATTATTTTATTTAACTTTACTTATTTATTTTAATTTGACCAGAGAGGGATATATATAGAGAGAGAAAGTGAGCAAGCAAGGCGCCAGGTCCAGGACTGGAACTGTGGTTGGCCATGTGGGAGTCCAGCACCCTTAACCACCACGCCACCTGCTGGCCCCCAGAAGGAGGGTTATTACGACCACCCTCCTCTTTCGCACATGAGGAAACTGCTGCTCTTCTCTTCCTCAGAGCTGCACAGCTTGGAAGTCATAGGACTGGATTTGAACCCAGGCCTGTCTACCCCAAGTCCAGGCTCCTTTCTTCCAGGTAGTGACGTTCCCGTTTGTGGCATCATGCAGGCGATATCTCGGTGACCCCTCCCGAGAGGTGATAAAGCAGACAGAAGCACTGATACCCCAGGGTGCAGAAGGGCATGTAGGGTGGTCGACTACATGCATCTGGACATTGTGGTAACTCGCCATTGTGGGATCCTAACCTCAGGGCTCCAAGCTGGAAGGCAGGAGGCTTGTGCAGCCATCTGTAACTGCCTCCCACGCCCACACAGCTGTCAGCAGCGTCAGCTGTCAGGCAGGCAGCTCCTCTGGGGAGTTGCTCCTCCACATAGTTCCGTCCTTTCAACCAGTACCGTAGACCACCGAGGGATAGCGCCTCCTGGCTGGGAACGGTTATGTGCCTCCTGCGTGCTGTGCCTTGTGCACGATTCTGGATACCCAGGTCGGCCCTGTTTCACAGAGGAGGAGCAGGGGCTCCCAGGATTAGCCAGCAAGGCCACAGCTGGTGTGCAGCAGAGCCGGGATTCAGTCCCAGGCATCTGTGGTGAGCAAAGCCGGTGCCATGGAGCTTTCAGGGAGTCCTGGGCGGTCACAGGCAGGGTGACCTGAGCCCCATGGAGTCCCATGAGGTACTAGGCAAGAATGACCTGTGCCCCATGGAGTCCCGTTTATTCACAGACAGGGGTGGCCGGTGCCCATGAGTTCTGTGCGTTCACAGGCAGGGTTGACCTATGTTCCATGGGGCCCTGTGCAGTCACAGGCAGGGGTGACCTTGTCCTATGGGGTCCCATGCAGTTGTGGGCAGGGGTGGACCGTGCTTCATGTGGTCAGGGGTGTGGGCAGGGTTGAACCGGGATCCTATGTGGTCACAGGCAGGGGTGACCTGTGTGCCATGGGTTGGGGGGCAGGGGTGACCTGTGCCCTGTGTGGTCCTGCACAGTCGTGGGCAGGGGTGACTTGTGCCCTGTGTGGTCCTGCACAGTTGTGGGCAGAGGTGACCTGTGTCCCCATGGAGTCCTTTGCGGTCGTGGGCAGGGGTGACTTGTGTCCCGTGGGGTCCTGTGCAGTTGCAGGCTGGGGTGACCTATGCCCCATGGGGTTGCAGGCAGGGTGGGTGACCTGTGCTCCATGTGCTCCTGGGCAGGGGTGTCTGCATGGTGACTTGAATAGTCACAACTCTGGCAAGTGCTCCCAAGGAGAGCTCCACACTGCGGGGTGTAAGCCGGTCTGGTAGCGTCTGCAGAGGTCGGGAAGCAATGCGTGTGTGGGGGGTACTTGTGACCTCCTGCTCTGTGCCATGCCCTGCGCTCTGTGTAGTGGCACAGCGGCACCTGGCACAGTGGCATCCTTGGTTCCCACTGTCACAGTTGGCATTCTAGGGGACATGGTGGCTCAGGTAGAGGCCATTCTCAGATCCCCCGGAGAGGCCAGAGGCAGAACAGTCACTTACAGTGGCCTTTCTCTCGACCCACAGCTGGAGAAGGAGGAGCAGATACACAGTGTGGACATCGGGAACGACGGCTCTGCCTTCGTGGAGGTGCTTGTGGGCAGCTCAGCCGCAGGGGCCGGAGAGCAGGACTACGAGGTAAGAAGGGCCGCGGGTGGGCCTCATGCTGGCTTCTGCCCTGTGCACCCCTGTCACACTTCACCCATGGCCCCTGGGGTGCCATGTGGGGGCAGAGGTCAGTCACCCTCGAAGACCACCCAGTGGACAGAGGAGACAAAGAACAGACCCAGAGTGGTGAACTCTGACCTTCGTGGAAGACACCAAATTTATGTCACAGTTGCATCAACAACTAGACAGACTCTTGCTGGCTTGATGGTCACAACTTGACAGCAAGACTGCTTTTCTCAGGCCTCAGAGGCTCTCCCGGATGGCCTGCTAGCTTAGATTGGGCATTGCTTGGGATTGCCTCTGTTGATTTACTTGTGACAAATGTTGACAAGAAAGACTGTCTTTAGTTCCATGGTATTTGACAGAGAGGGAGAGACAGGCACTGCCAGCAGGGTCTTGATGCACTCAGGAGGGCTCTGGGTGTGAATGTGGACCCTCCCTTACCATCTAGCCCCTCCTTTACTTTTTCAGGATGGAGGCGGGGGAAGACAGGCACCCTCAGCGGGATCTTAGGCAGCCATCTGCCCTTCCTCCCAGCCTCTCCCAGCCAGCCAGGATCACAGGCCTGCACGATTCTGGATACCCAGGTCGGCCCTGTTTCACAGAGGAGGAGCAGGGGCTCCCAGGATTAGCCAGCAAGGCCACAGCTGGTGTGCAGCAGAGCCGGGATTCAGTCCAAGGCATCTGTGGTGAGCAAAGCCGGTGCCATGGAGCTTGCAGGGAGTCCTGGGCGGTCACAGGCAGGGTGACCTGAGCCCCATGGAGTCCCATGAGGTACTAGGCAAGAATGACCTGTGCCCCATGGAGTCCCGTTTATTCACAGACAGGGGTGGCCGGTGCCCATGAGTTCTGTGCGTTCACAGGCAGGGTTGACCTATGTTCCATGGGGCCCTGTGCAGTCACAGGCAGGGGTGACCTTGTCCTATGGGGTCCCATGCAGTTGTGGGCAGGGGTGGACCGTGCTTCATGTGGTCAGGGGTGTGGGCAGGGTTGAACCGGGATCCTATGTGGTCACAGGCAGGGGTGACCTGTGTGCCATGGGTTGGGGGGCAGGGGTGACCTGTGCCCTGTGTGGTCCTGCACAGTCGTGGGCAGGGGTGACTTGTGCCCTGTGTGGTCGTGCTGCACGGTCGGGGGCAGGGGTGACTTGTGCCCTGTGTGGTCCTGCACAGTCGTGGGCAGGGGTGACCTGTGCCCTGTGTGGTCCTGCACAGTTGTGGGCAGAGGTGACCTGTGTCCCCATGGAGTCCTTTGCGGTCGTGGGCAGGGGTGACTTGTGTCCCGTGGGGTCCTGTGCAGTTGCAGGCTGGGGTGACCTATGCCCCATGGGGTTGCAGGCAGGGTGGGTGACCTGTGCTCCATGTGCTCCTGGGCAGGGGTGTCTGCATGGTGACTTGAATAGTCACAACTCTGGCAAGTGCTCCCAAGGAGAGCTCCACACTGCGGGGTGTAAGCCGGTCTGGTAGCGTCTGCAGAGGTCGGGAAGCAATGCGTGTGTGGGGGGTACTTGTGACCTCCTGCTCTGTGCCATGCCCTGCGCTCTGTGTAGTGGCACAGCGGCACCTGGCACAGTGGCATCCTTGGTTCCCACTGTCACAGTTGGCATTCTAGGGGACATGGTGGCTCAGGTAGAGGCCATTCTCAGATCCCCCGGAGAGGCCAGAGGCAGAACAGTCACTTACAGTGGCCTTTCTCTCGACCCACAGCTGGAGAAGGAGGAGCAGATACACAGTGTGGACATCGGGAACGACGGCTCTGCCTTCGTGGAGGTGCTTGTGGGCAGCTCAGCCGCAGGGGCCGGAGAGCAGGACTACGAGGTAAGAAGGGCCGCGGGTGGGCCTCATGCTGGCTTCTGCCCTGTGCACCCCTGTCACACTTCACCCATGGCCCCTGGGGTGCCATGTGGGGGCAGAGGTCAGTCACCCTCGAAGACCACCCAGTGGACAGAGGAGACAAAGAACAGACCCAGAGTGGTGAACTCTGACCTTCGTGGAAGACACCAAATTTATGTCACAGTTGCATCAACAACTAGACAGACTCTTGCTGGCTTGATGGTCACAACTTGACAGCAAGACTGCTTTTCTCAGGCCTCAGAGGCTCTCCCGGATGGCCTGCTAGCTTAGATTGGGCATTGCTTGGGATTGCCTCTGTTGATTTACTTGTGACAAATGTTGACAAGAAAGACTGTCTTTAGTTCCATGGTATTTGACAGAGAGGGAGAGACAGGCACTGCCAGCAGGGTCTTGATGCACTCAGGAGGGCTCTGGGTGTGAATGTGGACCCTCCCTTACCATCTAGCCCCTCCTTTACTTTTTCAGGATGGAGGCGGGGGAAGACAGGCACCCTCAGCGGGATCTTAGGCAGCCATCTGCCCTTCCTCCCAGCCTCTCCCAGCCAGCCAGGATCACAGGCATGTGTGTGCCTGGCCTGTCGGTCCAGGAACCAACCCCCCCAGTCTTCCATGTGGCTTCCAGCCTCACGAGCACTGTCAACTGCTGTCCTACCATGACCAGACCCATGGTTTTTTAACGCTAAATGCTTTTCGTGTCCGAATTTTTCAAAGTCTCTGTGTTAGTTTCCTGGGGCTGCTGTAATAAATGACACATTCAGTGGCTTACAACAACACAACTTCACTGTCTACTGTTCTAGAACTCAGGCTAAAATCTCTCTAAGCTAAAATCACGGTGTTGTCAGGGCTGCCTTCCTTCTGGAGGGTCTCGGGAGAATTTGTTTTGCTGCCTGTCCTAGCTTGTTGGGGCCACCTGTGTTTCTTGGCTTGTGTCCCCTCCCATCTTCAAAGCCAACACTCATGTGGCTCCACATCTGTTTCCATCTCACTTCTCTAATGCCGACTTTGTTCTTCTGTATAAAGACACTTGTAATGACATTGAGCTCACATGGGAACCCGGGGTACTGTCCCGTCTAGCCCTTCAGCTTCATCACATCCGCAGTGTCCCTTTTGGCACATTTATAGGTCCAGGATTAGGACGTGTACATCTTTGAGGGGTTGTTACTTTGCCTACACTGTCTCGTGTTTTCTTCTAGATACTTCATGTCTTCAGCTTTTACATTTAGATGTCTGTTTTGTCTCTTTTTTTTTTTAAGAGATTTCTTTCCTGTAAGGCACATGCACTCGCCAGAGATAGAGACAGAACGTGAGAAATTGGCCACGCGGCAAACCCTTCTCTATTCTTTTCTCACCATCTTGGGCACGCATGCACACGCACCCGGCATGAATTTTCAGCAACAGGATCCAGGACTCAAACTGTGGTCAACTACGTGGAAGTCCAGTGACATAACCATCATGCCATCTGCTGGTCCCTCAGAATGTGCTTTTTTTTTTTGAAAGAGATTATTCTGAGACAGCTCCATAGCCTGGCAGGTGAGGCAGCCAGATCTTACATGGTCAACTGTGCGGTTCAAGCCTCAGTGGCTTGAGAATATATGCGTGCATGTGTGCTGCAATCCCACGAGGAGAGTGGAGAAGGGACTGCAGTCACCATGCGCAACAGTGGGGGCTTCCTCTTCTCCTTCACTGTCTCTCTCTGGTGAGCACATGGACCCTCTAGCAAAGAAAAACAGAGGCATGTTATACATGACCTGGCCCACCAGGAGGGGATGGCCACACTGCTCTCCCTTCTCCTCCATTCTCCCCTTGGGATTTTGGGTATGCACGCACATGTATTTGAAGCTACCAGGTCCAGAACTCGAATTGCAGTCGGCCTTGTAGGAGTCCAGTGACGTCACCATTATGCCATCTGCTGGTCCCTGAATTTTTTTTATAAAGAGTTGTTGTATTTAACATACATTTACTTATTTATTTATTATTAATTGTCTATGTTTATTTTTTTTATCTCACCTTAGGAAGTTTGATATTTTTTGGAGGAGTTATTAAGTTTGTAAAAATAGAATTATATATATCTATATATACTGGTAGTTTATGAACATGTACAAACAAACAACAATAGTAACAAAATTGTATTAACAACTTTTTAAATGTAAAGTTGAATAATCTTATTAACAGGCCCTCTTAATTTTATAAAATTTAAAGACTAACAACAGGAATAACTGAAGTATATTAACTTAATAACAAGAATTATAAGGAGGACTCAGAGAGAACCAGGCGGCAATGTTTTTATGAGTCTATGTTTAACATTGGATTTATATTTTTTATATAAGTTTTTTTAACTCAGGTGTATTGTATTGGCTACTTAACATGTAATTTTGTCAAATATTTACTTTTTTTGGTTAATTTTGGCTTAATAGTTTAGAAAACTAGTTTATACAGAAAATGAACATTTTATTTAGTTAAATGATTAGATTTTTAGAAACTGGTATTTGTAAGAGTACATTTAAGAAAAAAATTTTTGTGAAATTTTTTTTTGAGAAATTTTTGCTATAGGGCGCATGTGCTCTCCAGGAAGACAGAGAAAGACAGAGAGACAGAAAGAGAGAAATCACCCCCAGGGGGGATGGCCACGCTGCAATCCCTTCTCCATTCTCCTCTCGAGATCTTGAGCATGCACACACGTGCCCAGCTTGAGTTTAAGCCACCGGGTCCAGGACTTGAACCATGGTCGACTACATGGGAGAGTCCAGCAACATAGCCATTAAGCCAACTGTTGGTCCCCTTTTTGTGAAATTTTTTAAGGACATGACATTAGGATTCTAGACATAGTTAATGTTTTGACAAAGATTTATAACTGAGGGACCAGCAGTTGGTGTAATGGCTATGTTGCTGGACTCCCATGTAGTCGACTGCGGTTCGCGTCCCGGACTCGGTGGCTTAAAACACACCAGGCACATGTGCATGTGTGCCCAAGATCCCGAGAGGAGAATGGAGGAGAAGGGATTGCGGCGTGACCATCCCCCCTGGGGGGTGATTTCTTGCTTTCTGTCTCTCTGTCTCTGTCTGTCTGGCGAGCGTACACGCCCTATAGCAAAAACCTCTCCAAAAAAAAAATTTATAT